ATTTCAACACCCTCAAGAGTCTCTCTGCCCTCCCCACAAGAAAAGGAAATTCCAGAGGTTGAATAATGAAATTATCCCATTTCATAATAATGAAATTATCTCATTTCATAATAATGAAATTATCCCATTTCGGGTTGTGCTGGAAATGGAAGAGAGAAGCAGATATTTTTCCCTTGTGCTTTTCTCCTTCCACAGCCTAACACACCTAAAAAGAGGGGGAAAAAAACCCCACTTGGAATAATATTTACAAGCTAATTAGGCAGAGAATTGATTTGAACATCACTGGGATACCAGAAAAATGCCAGCTGAGCTGGGAAGGCTTGGGCTGGTTTTCCATGGAAATTGAAATTGCCACAGGCTGCTGGAGGCAGGAGCTGGAGCCATTCCCTGGGAGGTCTGAGCCCCTTCCCACCCCCAGCAACCTCCTGGTTTATCTCCAATTTATAAAATTATTGTAAGAGGTGAAGGAAAGGGAATTTTCCTACCCAACAGGAGAACATTTGAATTCCTGTGTGTGCCGTGGGAATAGGGAAAAATCCAAAATATGCTGGAAAGAAACAGCAATTCCTTTTGATTCCTCTTCAGCAGCACTGCCCTGCCCAAATCCCAGCCAAAATTCCAGTTCCTATATCCCAACAGATTTCCCACCAAGGGAGCACAACATGGAATTGTTTCTCCTTCCATTCCCAGCATTTCTCCTTCCTGCCTAAATCTCTCCTGATTTATCTGGGCCGTTTTCCCAATTTATCTGGGTCATTATCCCAGTTTTCCACCAGCCAGCAGTGTTTGGAGCACTGCTCCCCTGTCTCTCAGGAATTATGGATTTACCCAGCAAAGGCACAGGGAAATCATTGCTTATTTGCTGCTCAGAGCCCTGAAATTCCAGGAGAAAATAAGATTTCTCTGGCTTGCTTTAGATCCTGGGGTTTCCACCCAAATCTGCTGGGTTTATCCCCAAATTCAGGTGACAAACAGCACCAGTGGCATTCCTTTTGGGAAGGGACAGGGAGCTGGCACTGCCCCAGGGCTCAGGGAGGTTCACACCCAGCTCCTGCTCCAGCTCAGCCTCTTCCTGTGGGAGGCAAAGCCCAGCTGGGGGAATTTAACATTCCCGCTCCGAAGGAATTAAACCCAGCCTTAAAAAGGGAAATATTTCCCAGCTCTGAGGTTTTGCAGAGGGCTGGAGGCACCTGATGACCACAGAGCTCCACAAACAGGGGCTGCTCCCTGCTGACAGGGAGATTTTAGAGGAATTTCACAGGATCTGTTTTATCCAGTAGGAAAATGAACACAGCACCCTGGAAAGCTGGGAAGGACACAGGCTCTGTCTCCTTGTTTCCAAAGGGGCTCTCTGAGCTCTGCTGAACAGCAGAGCTTTGCAAATCCATTTCTTCCATTTGCAAACTCAATTCTTCCATTAGCAAACCCATTTCTTCATTTGCAAATCCATTTCTTCCACTTGCAAACCCATTTTTTCTCAACTCCTGCCCTGTTCCTGAGTGAATGTGCTGAGAAAAGAGTGGTGCAGAATTCCAAAGGCCAGATCTCCTCAATGGCACCAACCACAGAAGGGATTTATGATTACTAAAGGATCACCCACCTGCTTTGGTTCCCATTTATTACAACCAGCACTTATCAAGAGTTATTTGAATATCCCAGGCTCTGAGAGCCTTTAGAAACCTGGATCCATGGAAAAGAAAAATGTGAGTGGCAGGAGGCTCCTGAGGCCTCCTCTGCTCCAGAGCTGCTGTTTCTCCTTTTCTCCTCCTGGGATTTAAAAACTTAAATAGATCTTGAATCCCAGGAATTTTATTATTATACAGTATTTTAAATATATATATATATACACACACACACATATATACACATATATATATATACACACACACACATAGATAGATATATAGATATATGTTGTATATATATTGTATATATATACTATATATAATATTATATATTGTACATATTGTATATATACATACATATATATAAAATACATATATTTTTATATAACATATTAATATATAAATATATATTTTATATAATGTATAAATAGAAATATAGTATATAGTATATAGTATATATACACACATACATATATATAAAATATATAAATATATAAATATAGTATCTATAGTGTATATATATACGATATATATACACTATATATAATTATATATAAAATATATATGCTATATAAATATTATCTATATATTATAAAGATATAGATAATTTCTATATATAAATTATATAAATAATTACATAAAAGATGATTTTAAATGTATATATATATATATAAAATATATATGAAAAATTACTCCTGTTTTCAAATCCTGCTTGGGACATCCTGGCTGAGCAGAGCCCCTCCCAGGTATCCCACATTGCCTGAAATGTTGGAATTCAGCCCAGGCTCAGGACAGGAGAGCTCCAGCAGCTCCCCAGCACCTCTGCCAGGACACAGCTGTGTCCCCAGCATCCCTGCACTGCCGTTGCCATGGTGACCGGGCATTGTCCCCTCTCCTGCCACCTTTAAGGAAAAATGTCCCTCTACAGCACAGGGCTGTCCCCAGAGCAGTGCCAGGTGGCCTCAGCCCCATCCTGCACCCAGGACATCCCTCAGGACAGGAATTGGAGCCCATGAGGAATTCCCTGCTGCCTCCAGCCTGGAGCTGACCATCACCAAGGAAAAAAAATATCCAGGAGAATCCACACCTAAACAGGGAGGGTTTGAAGTGAAACCTAAGCAGGGAAGAGCTTGAGGCCACCCAGGACCAGCAGAGAATCCTTGAACATGGAAAATCTTGGGGCCGGCATGGTATCAGAACCCAGGAAATTCCTCTGGCTGCCCTGGAGGCCTCCAGCCCCTGCCCAGGGGGCTCAGAGACCTTGGCACAGAGCCCCAGACCCCTGTGCCTTTGATTTAGCCCTTGGGGAAAAAAAAACAATTACCAACCTTCATATGAAGAATTACAAGCCATGAAAGTTTAAGTAGAATGATAGTGAATTTATCACAGGGTGAAAAATGTGGTTTTTGGGGTTTTTAGAATAGGGGTTCAGGGGGCAAGATGGAGGAATCTGGGCATGTCCAGCCTTTCTCATTCTTCTTCTTGGCCTCCATCCTCTGCTGTGATGTTGGCACTTCTGGATTGGTTTAGAGTAGAAACTCACGGTCTAACATAGGTGATAGGTATTGGGAAGTTACTGTAAATAATGTAGTTTTTAGTATAAAAAGATAACACCACCCCAGGGGCAGGCAGAGTGCCTGGACCTGTCTTGCTGAGCGAACCTCGGCTGGAGAGGAGAAAAAATTTTATAGATAAGATACAATAAAAGAACCTTGAGAATGAGAAATGAAGAGCCCTGACTCGTTCTTCAACCGCTGGGGCTGGGAAAAGAGACTTTCCAGCTCGTCTCAGGGTCACTCTGACCAGCCAGAGACCCCGAGACCAGATCATTCCCTACTCCAGGATGCTCCAGCACAGCCTGAAATAAACAGCACTGATGTGTCTGCCTGATCACAGCCCCCACATGGAGGCCAGGGAACATCATCCCAAGGATCAGCTTTGGGCAAACTTTGGGAAGAACAAGCTCCAAGCTGCTGGTACACCCGGGAATCTCTGAGCGCACATACAAGGGAATTTTATCCCAGCACAAACAGTTCCAGAAGGCAGCCAGGGCCTTACTCAACCTCCAAATATGTTTTTCGGGATCGGTGCTGGGCAGGTCCTGGCAGGGGAATGGAGCAGGCAGGAATGTTTCCGTGGAGCAGCGAGAGGAGTCAGTGCCATCTGCCGGCTGCAGCTCCCAAATCCAGCGGACAGACAGGAACAGTGGGCTCCTGGTCATCACATAGGTTAGTAATGTCACAGCTTGATGATTCTGGATAATTTTCAAGTATTCATTTTATAAATCAATAAATAACGAATTCATAAATTAATATATAATAAAATATGTAATATTTTAATATATTATATAATATTATGTATAATATTATAATATATATTCTCATATCTATTATATATACTATATATTATTATATATAGTATTATATATATTCTATTCTATTATATTCATTCTGTTATCTATGATTATAGAGTATCATATAATAATAGTATGACAATAAAATAAAATAAAATAAAATAAAATAAAATAATATAATATAACATAAATTGTATTAATAATATTTTAATAGATTATATAAAATTTATACATTTTAAAATATTATATTATACGATATTATATTATATTATATTATATTATATTATATTTTTTTTCCACTCTCTCCCCATTCCTGGCCTCCAGGTGTGGAACAGCTGCTGCTTAACGCCAAAAATAAAGAACGAAATATGCAGAAGGGCCACGGAGAGGCGACGGGAACTCTGTATCAACAGAACGAGGTGATTTTCCATGGAAATGGCCAGAAATTGAAGGCAATGGAATTTAACCCTTTGTGAGCCCCGCGGCGCTGCCATCGCCTAGCAACAGCACGCCATGTCCTAATATGGCAACCGCGCCCGCCCACTCCTCATTCTCACTTCTCATTGGCTACACCCATGTGATTGACGTGCGTGCCCACCAATCCCCACCCTCCACGAGCCTCTCTCGCGCCCGGGGCGCGGCGCTACCCGGAAGCCGGTGCAGGAAGCGGAGGGGAGGAGCGCGAGAGAGGCGTCCTCT